AAAGGAAAAGAGGAAATCTGGTTTGGCAGATATTCACACGGCAAAAAGATCAGAAGACTTTATGAACCACAACTTCAATAAAAGCCAAAAACATTATGTACCTAAGAGATCATGCAGTCCACATGAAAAGAACAACAGGCTACGAGACAGAGGCCCAGCTCTCCCAGTTCCCATCTTGCACGGTCCCTCATGTACAAACTGACCGGGCAGAGACATGACCTCCTCCACCCACCTCACAGGTTTTGGAAGGAGACAAGGGGGCTCTAACTGCAAAGGTGCCTTAAAAATCATTTTTATTTTTTAAGTCTACCTGTTACTATTATGAAGACACACATTTACGTGTCCACAAAAACAAGGAACAGTGTTTAAGATGCGTTCCAAACTAATAAACAAATGTGTTGTGTCCACAGAGGTCTGAGATTGGGGGCCATGTCTTTGCCATTATCTGCATCGTTCAAGTCTTTCTTTCAAGTATTCTGTTTAAGTCTTCAAATCTGTAAAAGCTTCTCCAAAAGCATTAATGTAGAGTGCTGCAGAGTTCTCATTTGGGGGTATTTAAGAATCCTTGGGGGTTAAAGCTGTGGCTGCCTACGTCCCATGCAGACTTAACTGATCAAAATCTCTAGAGGAAAGAGAGAAAATAAGGCCAGGCCACTTATAATCTATGAAGTTCCCAAAATTATTCTGGTGACTTGCAGTTAAGCATACTGTAATACCACAACATTTCTATTAGTATTAACTCCAACCATGTCATTTAACATATGCCAATCACTGTCCTCAGCACTTTATGTGTCTTATGTCATTTAATCCTTACAACTATATAGTGCAAGCTATTATTAACATTGCTCTCCTCTGCTCTTTGTTTTTATAGATGAAAACACTAAAATACAAAAAAATTATTTAATCAGCTCAAAGTCTCATGATGAGCTGTGGCAGAGTAAGAATACACAATGAAGTTTGAAAATTTCTGATACAGTTTCCTAAGAAAACAGCTGCATACTCTGGTTAGGTCATATCAAAATCTTTTGTTTTACTATATATACTGACGTTTAGAACACCGTAAAAACAGAGTTGCCTAAAGAAAGCATGGTGAGTTTCCATTAAGCAAGGAAGAGGCTCAGGGGTGCAGCTCACTGTTGGGGCACACTTAGCCAGGGCCTGAGTTCCATCTCCAGCACCAAAATATAAACAAACCAGCAGGGAACAAAGGATCTTGGGCTGTCTGCATACTTCCAGTACAGCTGCCATCAATTCATGCTATAGTTCTCTCCCCGCCTAGACTGCAAGCCCCTGACACAGGGACTGTGCATGTGCTCTCAGCTGTACTCCTGGTACCTGGTGGCTGGCTGAAATGGGTTTAGTAAGTAATCTAATTGATAAATCTAGCGATGGCCTGATAACTGTCCTGGAAAACATGAAAGGCTATTATGTGGAGAAGAAACAGACTTAATTTATGTTGCTGCAGGGGGAATAACTACTGTCGACAAGTAAACAGATATGAGGCAGATTTTGGTAGAGTCTAAAGCTTTTCTGGTACCCAAAGCCTGTGCAGGAACAGAGAAGCATGCCTATAGTTTGAGGCTGACGATCAGAAAGTAGCAGACATAAGGTAGAAAGAATGCTATATTACAGGAATTCAAGGCTCAAATCCCATTAGTTCATGTGACAGCATACTTATTATTTCACACACACACAGATTCCACTATTTTACAAGTCACATTAGTAAGCAACAGTGGGCACAACATGTACTTGCCCTCAAGGATTTAAAGAGTAAATGCCCAGGAGTGAACCTAAGCAAGGAGGAAGCTGATGGGTACCCAAGGTATAGCAAGAAGTGAGGAGACCTCCAGGCAGGGAACAAAAAGCTAACAAAGTTATTACAGAAGGAGCACCACCATCTCAGTATATTTGAGCTAGATCTTCAGGGACCTGTGAGGACAGGCACGATGTCACATGCCATAAGAATCTGAAAAAGCAAATTATCTGGTGTAGCAGTAATGGTTTGAGCATAAAGAGGGCAGGAAAGCAAGAGAAAGAAGCTAAAAACAATCAGTAAATTACGGTGTTTTAGTTCCATCATTGGAACTAAAGAAATTTTATTGCAGTAGTTACTGAAGCCTGACACACTAAATTCTAGAGATAAGTTAGTCCAACACATACACATACACTTTCTGGATGATGCCCTACTGGCACTGAATAAAGACAGCTTAGTTCACTTTTTAGATTACATTTTACAGGCCAAGCATGGTGGCACACATATGTAATCTCAGCACTTCAAAGGCTGAGGCAGGAGGATCACCATGAGTTCAAGGCCACCTTGGGCTACAGTGTGAGCTCAAAGCCAGCCTCAATTACAAAGCAAGACCCTATGGGGTCTCAGAAAAGCAAATAACAACAAAAAAGTAATAATATTTTACAAATCAAAAACTGTATCATAAATGACTTTTTCTTTGCTTAGTTTTTGTTTTTAAGACTAATAGAAAAAAAGACTAATAAGTTCTTCTCTTATCTCAAAGAAATCTTTTAAAGATTCTGCTTATAAAGCATTTGTTTTACTATTTGCTGCCTAGTATTTCTACCATTTAATTTGATTGACTTGCAGCTATCACAATTGATAGTTATTAAAACTCAGCCCTGAGCCTAATACTTACCCTTAAGTAATTATAATATTTACCAACAATACTACAAAATAAAAAGTACTGTTTATTTAAACAGGGTATGATGGTACACACCTGTAATCCCAGCATTCTGGGAAGGTGAGGCAGGAAGATAGCAAGTTCAAGCCCAGCATGGGCAACTTAGGGAGACTCTGTCTCAAAATAAAAATTTTAAAAGGTGTGGGAGTACAGCTTAGTATGAAGGCCATGGGTTCAACCTCTAGTACTGGAAAAAGGTGGAGGGGTATTGCTTATTTCAAACGTGCTTGCAAGTACAAGAACATTAATAAATGGTATTTTAAACAAGTTAAGTCTCAGGCCCAAGAAAGAATACAATTCTAAAGTATGACACTATTCTCAAAAAGTCAATTAAAAAAAAAATGAAGCAAAAAAAAAAAAAAAAAAGCCTAAATTCAAAACCAAACAAAATATGTTTGAATAATAAACTTAATGTTCTGGCCAATCAGTTCTCACCACTCATGTACACTATTTTAAGGATCTGAAATCTTGCTCTATAAAAAGCAAGTTCCCATCATCTAAACTACACTTGAGAGATGGTATCGCAGAAGTTACTGAGGCATAACACATCAAGCTGCAGGTTTTTGCTTGCTATCAGCACAAAAAATGCTTTCTTCTTTTACATAAAGTTTAATCTGTGAGTTAACTCAAAAGCCGCACACACTAGGAGCTATAAATTTTTTGGTTCTAATATAAACTTGTGGGAAAACCTTGCCAAAGCCTATTTGCCACATCAACCATAACATGGGGATACAATATTTGACACCTCCACCAACAAATTCTCTTCAAAGGAGTTCTGACTTTGGTTAACCTTCTTTGCAAGAGTCAAAAGCTATGGCTGAAAACTCCTAGATAAAAATTAACTTAAAAAAAAAATCTAAACCAGCGCTACCTATAAGCCCATAAAAACAATGATAAATAGAAAGATATGCGTTAATTGCTTTTGTAGTGCAACTAGACAATTTGACAAAGATGAATAAGCAAACAGTTCATCAAAAGTTAAATCTTTCTTGGCAAATGAAGAACTAAAATCATATTCAGTATTCCGGGGCATGGTGTTATTTCCCTTATCTCTATGTGGTCTCTGCATCAATGTTACTCTTCTCCCACTCCCTCCATGAGCAAATGGGCCAAGAGCTCAGTAAATGTCACAACTAATAATAGTAATAAAAATAACAATTTCTAGAGCCAGAATTGATACATATCTGTGGCACCTGAATATGGTGCATGCAGGTACATGGCACCATGCAACTGCTCCTCACTTTTGACCCTTCTGAACCACTGCTTCCCAAAGGTTTGGAGAATCTAAAGCTCCCATTGCCAGAAGTACACATTACAGTATCACGTTTTAAACAGCTCACAGGTGCTACGAATAAGTCTGCGATTACCGAAGAAACACCACGATACAGAAATTCACCTCAATGCAACACGTTTGGAGCTTCCACCTCACTGTTATTCTCAATTTTAGAAATAAGCACAACTATTTTTTTAAAATATTATGTAATAAGTTAGACTCTGGAAAACCCCATACTCATCCGAGTAGCTCGGAAAGCCGGAAAGCAAAATTCGATTAGCTCCATTGTAGCCAACCAGGCTAACGTGCAAGATCACACACTCATCTTCGTCAGAGCGTCTGCCAACACCAAAGAACAACAAAGGCAAGTTGAGGAGGCTGCACAGGCTTAACTCAGCACTTGTCCGCTTTCCCAGCTTCGGAAAGAAGCTCTCTGAGGGCCCCCAGGGACCAAGGGGACCCTCTGCATCCCCCCCCCAGGCGGCAGCTCCCCTCGGCGCCGCTCGCTCAGCTTTTGTCTGGCCCGGGTGGGAGCCCCGGCCGCCCGCCTCCCGGCACCCCTTCCCTCCGGATCTTGCTCCACACCCATCACTCGCCGAGGACTAGTTGTTGTGGATTTCTCTCCGCAGCCCCCTCCCCTCGCAGTCCCTGGCTCCTTTCAAACGCGTCCTGGGCTTCCTGGGCTTTTCCACCCAGCCCGGGAGCCTCGGGTCAGGAAGGGGGCCCGGGGTGGGGTCTGGGAGAGGGAAAAGGAGAGGGGCACACAAAGCCTCCCTGACCCCACAGCTGCCCCCTCCCGTGCAAAGCAGCCTGGGATCTGCGACCCGCTGGTTAGATAAACAACCCTTGCAACCCGCTCCTCCGCCGGCTCCCACCTCAGTGCCGCCCCCTCCCCCCAAAGTGCACACAGGAGCGGATGACAGCGCCGGACCTCGCCCCCACCCAGAGCCGGCGCCAGCCACCGCGAGGGAGGGACCAGGGGCCTCGGGAGGACTCAGGTCCAAGCCTTCTTATTCTAACCCGGTACTTACAGCCTATTATTCGCTGCTGTTATCGCTGCGGACCGGGCAGCCGCCGCCTTCTCCTCCACCCCAATGAGGTTGAGCGCTTGGTGCGGGGATTAAAAAAAGAGCGAGAAAAGCCGACCGCGCCTGCGCAGTGCAGTCTCCCTTTCTCCCCTTACCGCCACCGACCGGGCTAGACCATAGAGAGTGTAAACCGAGACCAGAGAGGTGGCTGCCTCTCTATGGTGCTGCCCTGCGCAGGCGCCGGCTTGGCGACGCTGGGATTCTGGAGCGCCGGCCCCACGAGCTTTTGCCCCACGGAGAGTGTTAATTGACCCTGATGGGGACCCGTAGGGTAAAGGTTCTTTAAGGAAAGGGTGACAATGTTAAGTTAGGCCTCTTGGGAGTTGGGCTAGCTAGAAGTTGGATCGAAGCAAGACCGTGCTCGAAAGAGCCCTCAGTGTAATAGGAAGAGCTAGAGAGGAGTCAGGAGTGTGTGGTTAAAAGTCGTCCGGCCGGAACTTCCTCTGGCCAGGGGTCTAATACCTGAAAGGAAACAGTTTTTCACTTCTGGGTTACGGGCGCCCGCTCTCTACTGGGCGATTTCGATGAAGGAAATTGTGCTCTGCGACTTCCCGTAGAAGGCAGTGGCTATTTTCCTTTTGCTCGAGTAGCCGGCGCGGAGATTTGTGCCGGAAACACAACTTTTTTGTCGGTCTTTTCCTTTTGAGGGTGGAGCCCGCCCTAGTGGGGACTTCGAGAACCCCCGAAACGGCCAGCCAGGTCTTACTTGAGCGCCTCTATAAATGATGCCGCTCTGTCCTCCCTCACGCGTTGCCTTCGGATGATTTGTGAGATAGTGTTTTGAAGGGTAGAAAACTGCAAGTTATACGGCTACCTTCAAGGATCCTGAAGGACCCACAGTTTTGCCGCGTCAAGTCCCTGTGCACGCCGGTAAATCGACTTTGAGAGAATTTTCGTGAAGATTATAAACTGCTTCGTGAAAGTCACTATTTAAGAATGTGGGCTGTAAATGAATGTAAATGAAATGAAAGGTAAATGTAAATGAAATATGCCAGACACGAGCTTAAATATCGCATAGTTGCTCTTACATGAAAAACCCAAAATATAAAGAGCAAATAAAAGATAGTGAAAAATAGATCTTTTTCAAAAGGAAGGAGACAAACAAATGAAGGTTGGGGAGAATGAAGGGATGAGGTTAAAAAACTTGAGATATGGACTTGGACTAACTCTCCACGAGGAATGTAATCATTATTGCAAACGTACAAATAAAAAATAAAAATTTAAAAAATAAATATCATTTAAAGAAAAACGCCAAGCCTCTTACTGCTGGTTAATTCTCGAAGATAATTATGAGCGACCGTTATTTTTTCACTCCAACTTTTCTTTCCTGAATGGTCTACAATGTGGTATATTACTTTTATGATAAGAAACACATAAACGTCTTTTAAAACTGTAGATTGGCTTCTATGCGCTAGGGTTTTAGAGGGTATCTTCTGTGCCAAACGCCCTGGTGCTGCAGTGTGTATGTGTTGCGAGAGGGTGCAGAACTGTGAGGTAATGTGCTCTCATGTTCAGGGACTTAGGAGTTGTGGTTCCAGAGGCTAAACTCAAAAACAAGCCATGCGTAGGCCCTTCTGTGTAGTGCAGAAAAGGTAGAACTGTAGATTGAAGGAGTAGGAATTCCATGGAAGACTGGTAGATCTAGAAAAGGTAAGATCTTGGGGAGGAAATCGCAAGCAGTTTTTTTTTTTAATAGATCGGTAATAATTCCACAGAAGAAACACCGGGGGTAAAAGTTCCGGAGGGAGTGGGCAGTGTACTGAGAGTACAGTGAATGTGAAGAATAGTATACCTGAAATGGAAAAAGGAAAAAAGAAAGGTACTGTACAGAAGAGTAGGAAGTAAGATTTGATAAGATGGACAGTGTTTTTATTCAGCCTTCTCTCTCAGGGATGCATGTCCAAGCTCCTGTGAAGCTAGTACTAGTTAAATGACAAACTAGAGAATAAGTGCATTATAAACACCATTCATACTCTTAGAACTTCTACGTGCCAAACACTTAACAAAGCAAGAAAAAAATCCCTGTGACCCTATTGAGGAAATAGTTTTTAAAGTAATGAGTAAAATATATAATATGAAAGGTAGGATGTGCGTTGCAGGAAAAAATGACACAATGATGCAAGAATAAGTGGTGCTGAGGATGGGGAAAAAAACTTGTTTGGGGGGAAGGGGATGGAAAAAAGAATTAAGATGTGTTATGTACATGTACTATTTTTTTTAAATATTTTTTTAGAATACAGTAATTCCCCACAAGGAATGTAATCCTTATGTACTGCAAACATGTAAAAAAAAGTTTAAAGATTTTTGTTTTAATACACCAGAAAACCCCCACTGACGAACAGACTTTACAAAGATCTGAAGGAGATGAGGGGCTAATTAATGTACTGTGTCTGAGTAAAAAGGATTTAGGGAGAAAGAATAGTAAGTGTAGAAACCTGTGAGATAGGAGGACACCAGTCTAAGAACAGAAAGGAGGCCAGAGTGGCAGAAGCAGAGTAGAGGAGGGTAAAAGTAGGAAATGAGGTCAGAGATAACAGGATACCAAATTGTATAGGGAGTTGGACTTTTATTGAGTAAGATAGGAAACTGTTCAAAGGTTTTGACTAGAGAACTAACATAATTTGACTTTGTGTGTGTGTGTATGTTGTGCTAGGAATTGAACCCAGGGCCTCAAGCATGTTGAGCATGCACCCTGTTGCTGAGCTACACCCTGAACCCCCAACTTAAATTTTTAAAGAATCACTTTGTCTAGGGAAAAGTGCAAGCAATGAAAGCACAAAGTATCTGGATGTATTCAAACATCCAGGATTGACTGCAGGATGTGATGCCAGTTTACCCTGATAGAGGGTATGAGAAAATGAGGGGAGTCCAAGATGACTCCAACTTTTTTTGCAATTTGAAGAATACAGTTGCCATTTACTGAAACAAGAAAGATGGACAAGCAAGTTTGGGACGAGAGAAGATAAATTCAGTTTTGGATCTGTTGAGATGCATATTAATTTGGCACGTGCAAATACCAACAAGGTAGCTGTACATAAGAGTTTGTAATTCAGAAAAGAAGTCCAGACTAGAGATGTAAATTGGGGAGACATCAACCTTTAAACAATACTTAAAGTCATGAGATTGTGTAGATATTACATATAGAAAAAAATTTGAAAAAGTATCTAAGCCACTGAAATAAGAATAGGAAAGGAATTCAAATGGGGGTAAAGGGAGAAGGAGGACGAGCAACCGGCTGATTGCTGGTAGACTATACTTGATCATTGGTTATAACACTGGAATTGTGAGGAAGAAAGCCAGCTTGGAATGGTTTGGGGAAAAAAAAAATGGCAAGAACTAAATTGAAAAGAAGGAAATAGATCACTTGGAGTTTATAGAAGTAGGGGGCAGATACATGAACTTCTGGGGATAGGTGGGGTCAAGACAGTACTCTAAATTTTTTCATCCACAAATATTTTAGTATTTCTAAATGATATTTTTTCATAAATGTAACTTCAATACCATGACAGTTTTTTTTTTTCCCAGAAATGTAACCTTAATCCCACCATCACATTTTAAAAATTAATTCCACAACACCAAGTACAGCCCTCCCTTGGTATCCACTAGGGATTGGCTTCAAGGCCCCCTGTAGATACCAAACTGGAATACTCAAGCTCCTTGTATAAAATAGCAGTGTTTGCATATAACCTACACTCAACCTCCTGTGTACTTTATTTTTTTTCTCCTGTATACTTTAAATCATCCATAGATTATAGTACCTGACACAATGTAAATCCTGTGTAAATCATTGTTCCATGATACTGTCTAGAGTATAATGGCAAGAAAAAGCCTCACAGTGGCAGGGAGGCAAAAAGCAAAACAAAGAACTGGGAAGGAATTATAGCCTTCCTGATCACACTCCCAGGGGCCCACCTCTTCCAGCCAGACCCCACCTCCTAACAGCAAGTCAGCTACAAGCCCCTTTAATTCAGTCACCTTCCAAAAGCCCTGCCTATGAGCACATGAGGCCTTTGGGGGATATTCTTGAGTACCATATTCCTATAGATTTTATTCTTTTTATGCTACTATAAGTAGTATTGCCTTAATTTTATTTTTAAATTGTTCATTGCAAGAGTACAGTAATATGATTACATTTTATTGATTTTGTATCCTGGAAACTTGCTGACCTCTATATAGTTTTTAAATATATTTCTTATGATTTTGGAGATAAATCATTCCATCTACAAATGGACAGTGTTCTGTATCTTCCTTTCTGAACTGGATCCTTTCTGTTTCATTTTCTTGTTTATTTTTCCCAAGTAGAATCTCCAGTGTAATGTTGAAGAGAAATGTCAAGAATATGGGGTTTGGGGTGTAGCTTAGTGGTAGACTGCATGTTTAGTATGCACACTGAGGGTGGACATCTTTGCCATTTTCCTAATATTACAGAGAAAGCATTTCATTTTTCACCAGTATTTTATGTGTGTATTTCATGTAAGGCCCTTAACAGATTGAGGGTGTTTCCTTTTTTTAGTCCATATTTGTTGAATATTTTATCACTGAAGAGTTATGGGCTGTTTTGCTTTATGTGTAAATATCTCCCCAAAGCCTCATGTACTTATATGTGGGGCTTTTGAGAGTGACTGGATCACGAGTATGATACTGAATTAATCCACTGACTGGTTTAGCATAATTCTGGGTATGGATGATGGACTTACTGAAGAGGGAAGACCCACCCCGGGTGTGGGTGGCACCACCCAATAGGCTTGTAGCCTGGATGGAGAGAAGAAGGAAGGCTACTGTCTCCTCCATGCCATGTCATGGATTGTTTCTTCTCTGTGATGCCCCTATGCCATGCTGCGCTGCCTCAGAGACAGCCAACTATGGACTGAAACCTCTACAGACTTCAACTAATACAAAGAACTAAAAAATTAAACCTCCTAAAATGAAAGGCCCAGTCAAGAAACGGGCAAGAGAAATGAATAGACACTTCACACAGGAAAAAATACAAATGGTCAACAGATATATGAAAAAAAAAATATTCAACATCTCTGGCCATTACAGAAATGCAAATTAAAACAATGCTAAGATTCTATCTTACTCTGAAAAGAATGGCAATCATTAGGAAATCAAACACTAATAAATGATAGTATGGGCATAGTGAAAAAGGAACTCTTCTGTATTGTTAGTAGGAATGTAAACCAGTACAACCATTATGGAAGTCAGTATGGAGATTTCTCAAATTAGAAATTCTGTATGACCCAGCTATCCTCCTTCTAGGCATCTTCCCCAAAGAGCTTAAGACATCATAGTATAGTGATACATGCATACTGATGTTTATAGTAGCACAATTATTAATAGCTAAATCCTGGAAGTAGCTTGTATACGCATTAATAGATGACTGGATAAAG